TAGAAGATAGAAATAGGAACTTTAGGTGGAAGTTTCAATGAGGAAAATTAGGTTTGATGTATGAGAAAGCTTTCTAATAATTTTTTGTTGAGTTGTTTCTGGGTTGTGTCTGACTCTTTGTGACCCCAGTTGGGATTTTCTTGGCAAAGATACTGGAGTGGTTTTCCCTTTCCTTCTCCATTTTACATATGAGGAAACTGAGGCAAGCAGGGTTAAGTGACTTGCCCAGGGTCACATAGCTAGTAAGTGTCTGAGGCCAGATTTAAATTACGACTGAAGAAGAATGATTCCAGGCCCAGCTCTCTATCCACTGTATCACCTGGCTGGAAATATCCTGAGGTGGAATGAGCTACCTCTGGAGGTGGTCATTTCCCTGTCCTTTGAAATCCTCAAGCAAAAGATGTTCAATCACTTGTTGGGTATATCACAATGGATTTCATTCAGTGTATGGTTGAATTCATTGGAAGAGGTTTCTTGCAACTCCAAAATTCGGTGATTCTTAAGCTTTCTGGGCAAGAGGGTTAAGACTTTTAGGTTCTCTTTCAGCTTTAAGACTGTGACTCTATTTTAGCCAATAGCTCCAACCTCTTCACTATTCAACCTTTCCCCCAGTTTTGAAGGAGTTTACTATACACACCTTTTGCTGTATCATACCTTTTACACAGTGGCCTCCCTGCATGTGAACAGGCAGGAAGGTGGAAAAGAAATAGCCAAAGGTGTGGCTTTTCATCTTTAAAGAATGATCTTTTATCTATCTACTTCCCACCCCTCATCCCCCAAAGGGGAGTTAGCTGCAAGCCGATGGGGATTGAGAGATTGTTTCCACATTTGGCTCAGGTTGTAGCTAGGCCAATGCACTCCCCCCAAACAAGGGGGAACAGGTAGTAAGCAGGTGAATGTAACTGTGGAATATCTGAGTAGTGACTCTGCATGGCAACTGCCCTGAGAAAAGCCTATCTTTTCATAAGAAATTCTGGAGCAGAGCTAAAAGTGGGATGCTGTTGTGGACCAGAGGCAAGCAGGGTGCCTTGGGCAGGGATAAGTAACATCAGACTGTTGTTGTCTGTGTGCTTACGAAAATTCCCTAATTCTACTTTGGTCATGGAGTATAGGGGATGGATTTTTGCAATTCTAAATCTGTCCTTAGAGGGAGGATGATGAAGGAGCACATGGCCAAAACACTTATCTTTTGCTAGCTGTGGGAGTCAAGAGACTGGTCTATAAATGATTTTGGCTCCTTGACTAAACTCATTTCCTTGTGATGGATGGTAAAATGGAAAAAGAAAGAAAAAATGTTAGTTCTCAGAGAGCTTTAGGATTTCTTTAATAGAGAATGCTTAAGAACCTGGGATTTGCCAACCCCAAATCTCAGGTGAATGAGAGAAAGATTTTAAAGTGGCACAAGCAAAGTGGAGATAATAACACTTTTAGGTTTATTTTTTGTTGTTCATATTACCTAATGATTTCTAAGGCAATTTCAAGCAGTTTTTCTTCCCCTTGGCTTTCCTATACAAGAAATTTTTTCTTTGAGAGCTGTGCAAAGAAATTTTATTTAAAATAGCCAGTCAACCAGCAATTATTAAAAACCAACTATTTACCAGGTACTGTGCTAATCTCTGGAGACAGAAAGAAAGGAGAAAAAACCCAACAAAAACATGGTCCTTCTTGTCAGGGAGCTCAAATGTCAGTGAGGGAGACAACATGCAATTAACTATGTCCATATAAGATAAATTAAGTGTAGATGGAAGGTAACTTGGAGGGAAAGGACTAGCAGGGGAGGATCTGGAAAGACCTATGACAGAAGGTGGGATTTGAGCTGAGTCTTGAAGGAAGCCAGTGACTCCAAGAGGCAGAGGTCAGGAGGGAGAACATTCCAGGCATAGGAAGAAGCCATGCAAAAGCATGGAGATGGGACAGTGAGTGAGATATGTGAGGAATAGCAACCAGAGCAGTGGAATTGGATCGTAGAGTATGTAGAGAGGAGTAAAGTGCAAGAAGACTAGAAGAAAGGTAAAAAGAAACTTTAAATGGAACAATAGGAACTTTCTATTTGATCCTGGAAGTAACTGGAAGTTACTTGACCAAAGGGCGGGGGTTGACATAGTCAGACCTGCACTTTAGGAAATTCCCTTTGGCAGCTCAGTGGAAAGATTGGAATGGAGAGAAATTTAAGGCAAGGAGAGCAATTAGAAGTCTATTGAAATAATCCAGGAAAGGGGTGATGGCCTGGAAAAAGGTGGTGGCTATGTGAATGGAGAGACGAGGACTTAAAAGAGAGATACTATGAAGGTAGAGATGACAAAATTTGGCAGTGGACTGGATATAATGGATAGGTAGGAGTGAAGAGAGCAGGATTTTGACACTGAGGGTTCAAGTCTGAGTAGCTGGGAGTATGTTGGTGCCCTTGAGAGAAATAAGGAAATTTGGAAGAGGGGATGGTTTGAGAGTGGGTGGGTGAGAAATAATGAGTTCTGTTTTAGACATGTTGCATTTGAGATGCTTACAGGAAATCCATGTCCTGCCGAGAAGACATAGGTAGTGCAATACTGGAACCCGAGAGATTAGATCTCATCTGCATAGAGGTGGTAGTTGAACTCATGGAAACTGATGAGATCACTAAGCAAGATAGTATAGACGGGAAAGAGAAGAGGGCCAAGGGCAGAGCCTTGGGGGACACACATTCTTAATATTACCCGAATGATTATCCAGCAAAGGAAACAGACAAGAATGAAGAGAGAATAGCCTCTCAAAAACATAGAGAAGAGTGATTAGAAGGAGAGGGTGATCAACAGTTTTAAAGGTTACAGAGAGATCAAGAAATATGGGGGCTTTTCATAACATGACTAAGGTGGAAATATGTTTAATATGATTATGCATGTATAGCCTATATCAGATTACTTGCCATTGTAGGGAGAGAAAAGGAGAGAGAAGGAGGGAGAAAAAAAATTGTAATTCAAAATCTTATAAAAGTGAATGTTGAAAACTATCTTTACATGTAATTGGAAAAAATAAAATACTATTAAATGGAAAACATGAAATAAAAAAATAAAAGTATGAGGACTGAGAAAAGGCTGTTAGATTTGGCAATTAGGCGTTTCAGTTGAATGATGGGCAGGGAAGGCAGATTGCAGAAGGTTTAGAATCTACTGATTCCTCTCCCTTCCCCTCCCTTCCTACTTTGGGGCATTCTGGGTGGTCCAGCATTCCCTGCCTAAGCCTTCCCCAAACTTTTGGCTGGTTCTCTAAGCCCAAACTGAGAAAGAGCAGCTTCAGTGCATTCTGGAGGTAAAGTTCAATTAACTTTTCCTTTAAGTGTTCAGATGATGTGTTATTATATGTGTATATACATATGCACATATGTATATGTAAAACATACACATACATATACATGTATGTGTGTGTGTATAGTATTGATATTGATTCATTATCCATGGTGCCTTTTCGAATAACATAATTTCCCAGTTCATCTCTTTTTATCTTTCTGTATTTACTGTGGATTTATCTTAGATCATGATCTCTACCTCTCCTTTTCTGAGTTCAATTGAACTATGAATCTTCCATTCAGTTCATTAAGTGGCTACTGCATAGAAGGCATTGGGAATACAAAAACAAAACAAACTAATCTCTACCTACAAGGAGCTTGCTATTTATTGAAGCAGAGGGGACTTGATGGGGGGTTGAGGGGGAGATACTTGTGTCCAGATAAATAGATACACAATAAATTGAGTTGTTCACTAACAACGTGGGAGATCAGAAAAGCTTTCCCATGAGAGGTGATAGCTGAATTGGACCTTTAAGGCTAGGACTAGTTAGAAGGATATATAATAACTAGTTATTCTAAGAAGAAAAAAGAGAATGTGGGAGAATATTCTAGATATAGGAACATGGAGGAAGGTAATGAAATGCTAAGTTTGGGGAAGAGCAAGGGAGCCAGATGGGCAGAAGCATAGAGTGTGTGAAGAGACATGTTAGGGGACATGATAATAAGTCTATAAAGTTCAGCTTGAGCCAACCTGAAGGAGCTGTGCCAAGCTGAGGAGTTTGCATTATGTTCTAGAGGCAGTAGGGAACCACAGAAACTTTTTTTTCTTGGTATTCCAAATTGCATTCCGTATTTAAGGCAGTCAGGCATCAAACATTTTTTTTCTTTTAAAAAGTATTTTTATTTTTTCCAATTACATATAAAGACATTTTTAAAGTTTATTTTTTATATAAAATTTTGAGTTCCAAATTTTCTACCTTCCTCTCTTCTTCTCCCTCAAGATGGTAAGCAATTTGATATAGGTTATATATAATATATGTATATGTGATTATGTAAAACATTTCCACATTAGTCACATTGTGAAAGAAGAAACAGAACAAAAGGAAAAAATCATGAAAAGAAATAAAGTGAAAATAGTATGCTTCGATCTGTATTCAGACTCCATCAGTCGGATGTGGATAGCATTTTCCATCATGAGTCTTTTGAACTTGTCTTGCATCATTGTATTGCCGAGAAGAGCTAAGTCAGTCATAGTTGATCATTGCACAATGTTGCTGATACTGTGCATGATGTTCTCCTGGTTTTGCTCCCTTCACTTTGCATCAGTAGAGCGATTCAGCAGGTAGGTGATCATGTGGGACTGGCGTTCAGGGTGAGATTGATGAGGTTATTCCTCACCTGAAATTTAATAGCTTCTCCCCTCCCCAAATACTTGGTAGTCTAATTCTAGCCCGCCTTACCAGGCTTCTCATGCAACTTCACGTATTTTGTGTTGTAGCCAACTAGGCAGCTGGGTGGCACAATGAGCAGAGGGCTGGGCCTGGAGTCAGGAAGCTCTAAGTTCAAATCTAGCCTCAGATACATCACTGGCTGTATGACCCTAGACCTCTTTCTGTCTCAGTTTCCTCAACTGTAAAATGGAGATAATAATAGCCCTTATCTCCAAAGGTTGTTGTAAGGATCAAATAAGATAGTACTTATAAAGTACTTTATAAAGTACTTAGCTCAGTGCCTGGCCATTAGGGGGGTGGTTGCTGAAGGTTAAGGTGGCTGTGGCAATTTCTTAAAATAAGACAACAACAACTGACATCAATTGACAAGTAAAAGTTCTCTGTCACATGCAGTGCTGTTTCATATCATTTTATCTACAGCAGAACGTCTTTCAAAATTGGAGATTGGTCAATCGTCTCAAACCCTGCCACTGCTCTATCATTTAAGTTTATGTGATATTCTTCAATATTGTTGTATGTCAGGGAATAGGCAGGCCTGAGGAGAGGGAGAGAAAAGAGGGAAAGGCTGGTAAGTGGAGCAGTCAAAATACACAGTACAACACTGTCTTATATGGGCATGGTTTGTGGCGCCCCAAAACAATTACAATAGTAACATCAAAGATCAATGATCAGAGATAATCATAACAGATATGATAATGAAAAAGTTTGTAATGTTGCAAAAATTACCAAAATGTGCCAGAGATACACATGCTATTGGAAAAATGGTGCTGATAGACCTACTTGACAGGGGGTTGCCACAAACCTTCAATTTGTTAAAAAGAAAAATGTAATATCTGCAAAGTTCAATAAAGCAAATGTACAATGAGGCATGCCTGTATTTTTTTGTTTTTTTTTCCCCAAAATTATTGTGTTTTCCATAAATAATACACAAAATAAAGCTAAGGACTGGATTTGTTCTTTAATTAGGGAAAAAAACCCTCCCAAATGAGGAAACTTCATTTATCAGTGCAAGATAGCATCTTCTCTGCAACTTATAAATTTAGAAGGCCACCCACAACTCTGAGAGATTAAGAGATTTGTCCAATTCACACAGTCTGTGTGTTAGAGGAGGAAATTGCAAACTTCATCTTAGTGAAATTGAGGCTTGGTCTCTGGTCATTATGCCATAATTGCTCCCTAAGGATAAAAATTAGTACTTAAATATTATATTTAATGATTGATACAAAATGTAGATATGATTTGAAGAAATACAAACATCAGGTACAATTTATCACCTTTCCCACTTATCTCCATTTAATTTTAACCACTCATTAACTACCTCATCTGTCTTCAGACCTGAATCAGCCATCCTGAGCTTTTCTATTCAGATTAAAAGTCAAATCAAGTCACTGCAACAAGCATTTATTAAGCTCTTACTATTTTCCAGCATGCCTATATTTGTAATGGCTTTCATCACATCCACTATGAATTACAGGGAAAGATGAGTAAAGAGTCCTTAAAGCCCTCCTGGTTACAGTGTCAACCTGCTCATTTCAATTAAGAGGTATCTAGGTGGTGTGATGGATACAGACAGACCTGAATTCGGATGCAGTCTACGTCACTTAATAGCTGTGAAACCTTAGGCAAGTCCTTTAACTTCTCTTAGCTTCCCAAATCTGTAAAATAAGGGTAATAATAGCACTTACCTCCAAGGATTGTTGCAAGGTTCAAACGATACTATTTGCAAGGTGCTTTGCAAACCTTAAAGCACCATAGAAATGCTAGGTATACAACAAAGATTTATTATGTGCCTAATCTGGATAAGGCATCATGCCACGTGCTGAGGATAGAAAGACAACAACAATGAAAGTCTCTGCCCATAAGGAGGTTACATTTTACTGAATGAGAGGTGGGAATGGGGGTAAGCGTTGGGGAAGGGAAGTGGAAGATAGTGATTTCCAACACATTTAAGAAAGAAAAGGGCACAAACAGCTTTACATATCAGGGAGGGCTTCATATAGGAGGTGATACCTGAACTCAACCTTAAAGGAAGATAAGGATTCTGAGAGGCAGAGATGAGGATGATCTATCATCTAGGCTAGGCTTTTGTGAGTGTAGCAGAGTTTGGAAATGGTGGCCCGAAAGTGGCATGCAGGCCTAGTTCCAGACAAGATGATGATGATGATGAGAGCTAACATTTATAGAGCATTTATTGTGTGCCAGGCACCAAGCTAAGCACTTTATAAATACTATCTCGTTTAATCCTCACAACAACCCTGGGAGGTAGGCACTATTATCTTCATTTTACAGTTGAGGAAACAGAGAGGGTAACAGTTGCCCAGGGTCACACAGCTAGTAAGTATGTTAGGCAGAATTTGAACTGAGGTCTTCTTGCCCTCAAATGCAGTGATCTTACTTGTGGGAAAAAAAAGCACTGGACTGGGAGTTAAGAGCACTGGATTCTAGTCCCAGGACTGCCACTGATTAGCAAAGTGATCTTAGGCAGGGCATTTCATCTTTCTGGGCCTTAGTTTCCCCTCTCTATTAAATAGAGGGGGGAAAGTTGGACTAGATGATTTTGTAAATCCCCTTCTAGCCCTTGAAATTGTTCCATCTTTCACTTAGGTCTCCACTTAGGACATAGATGACAGTCAGTTGTTGTTGGGTTTTTAGTTTCAATATTATCCTTTGCCTGGACTTATTTTTAGGCAACCTGGTGGAAAAATTCTCATTTTGTCAAAGTATGTAGCAAAAAACCAAACAGCCAGGGCATTGTTTGGTGATTAGATTAACCATAGCAATGAAAACAGAATTGTGCTGATCTCTAGATTTTCAAATCATCCTGTAACACCAGACAGCCATTTCCAACCTTGTATCCTGTGACACACCTGTAAAGTTCCAAGTGTCCTGTGGTGGGCTTTGTATTGAGGTAGAAGCATTGGAGGCCAAGAGTCAGAGATCATTTTAGTCACAAGGTATCTTAGAGGCTGTCTAGTTCAACTCCTTCATCCTACAAATGAGGAAACTGATATCCAGAGAGAGAGGAAGGGAATTGCCCAAGGTCACACAGGTAGGTAGTGCCAGAGATGATGATGTTGATGATGATGATGATGAAGAAGAAGAAGAAGAAAAATAGAGAAGGGAGATACAAGCATGGGAGGAGGGAGCTAGAGAGGGAGGAGGAAAAGAAAAAGAGAAGAGGAAATGGAGAGAAGGAGGGGGAGAAGGAGGGAAGAAGAGAGAGAGGTAGGGAGAGAAAGAGAGGAAGGGAAGGAAAGAGACAGAGAACGAATGGAGAAAAAGGGAGAGAGAAGGGGGAAGAGAAGAGACTCAGACTCTAATCTAACCTTCTCTGCTTTCCGCATACCCCACTTCCCTCCCCAGTGGTAACCAATGAGAAGCTTAGATTAGGTGGTAAAGACTGGGGCCAGACTGGCCCCAGGTACTGGGGGCCCCTTTCTGGGGCCAAACAGAAAAAGTCTGAGCCCCCACATGATAGTTCTTCAAAAATTTATAATATATATTATGATGCCATCTAGGTCTTCTCTTTTCCAGGCTAGAATCTCACCCAGCTCCTTCAACTAATCCTTATATAGTGTGACCTTGAGACCTGATGTAGAGTATGGGCAGAGATAATGAACACTTGACAAATACTTGTTGAAGGAAGATGTATGAAGTTTGGCAAAGATGACAAAGGTGAGAGTAGTCTATGTTGGGTGGAGTTATGGAAAGATGGACACAGTAATGCATTGTTAGTGAACCAGTGAATTTGTCAGCCATCTTGGAATTATACTAAGAGAGCAATTAAAATGTTCATACCCTTCTGACCCAGGTATTACACTGTTAAGCGTATATTCCAAGGAGATCAATGACAAAGAGAAAGGCTCCATATGTACCAAAGTGTTTATAGGAGCAAGTCATTTAAACTCTCTGGACTTTGAGAAATTCTCTAAGTTAGGGATGAATTGTGATCTCTACTAGTAGGGAAAGTTCTCACGTGGGGACTTCATATGCTGATGAAATCACTAATCCTTCATGTATTCCCTTATGCACAAAGTCTTACAGTTAGGTATTAAGGATGGATGTAAAGATTAAAAAAACAGCATTCAGTCCCTGCCCTCAAAAAGTCTGAGAGGGGGTAAGGATTATATGATATAGTAATAACAATACAAAGCAAAAACGAGTCTGGCAAAGTGCTGTAAAAAATTTGGAGGGAAAGATCTTTCATGAATGAACACATGTGTGTATATGTGTGTGCACATGCATGATTACACATGTTCTTGGTCGGTTGGTTACTGTCCTTTGTTCTCAAAGAGGACCAAAATGACACCACTGTATTAGGGTCAAGTTATGGTGTGTCTGACTGTGGCTGATCAGAGATTATGAGCTTGGAATGCTCTACCACAGGTCAGGCACAAATAGTCCATGTTGACATTCGGGGTGAATTCTCTAAATGTGTGCATCTTGTGTTTCTTTTGAGCTACTTCAATTCTGTTTTGCTCATGGAACAAATTTACATGCTCTGCCTCATTGTAGAGGTAGCATCTGAGTTGGGATTTTGATAAAAAGGACTTTAATTGGGCAGCTAGGTGGTCCAGTGGATAGAGTGAGGTCCAGAGTTAGGAAAACCTGAGTTCAAATTCAGCCTCAGATACTTATTAGCTGTATGACTCTGGGCACTTAACTACAACCTGCCTCAGTTTCCTCATCTGTAAAAGAGGGATAATGATAGCACCTACCTCCCAGTGTTTTTTTTTTTTGTGAGGATCAGAGATAATAACTGTAAAGTACATAGCATAGTACCGTAGTAAGTGCTACTTAAACATTAGCTATTATCATTATTATTAAACTGACCAAGATGGGTAGAATCTATTCTAGGTATGAGATATGGGGCACTATGTATATACAAAGGCATAAAGACAGGAGAAGGAAGTTTGAAAAAAGAAAGAGAGAAGGCCACAATGTTGAACATATGAAAGTCAATAGCAGGAGAAAAAGCTAGCAAGGCGGTAGGTTGAAGCTGGATTATGGAGGACATTGATTGCTGAAATCAGCAGTTTATATTTTGTTGGGTAAGCAATAGGGAGCCATGGAAGGTTTTATAGTAAAGGAATGACATGATCTAATGGTAGGAAGGCCAGTTAGGAGGCTATTTTAATTGTCTAGGCAAGAAGAAATCACAGGATTTTTTATTTATAGTTTGAGAAAAACTTATGAGGCTATCTTGTCCAATTTTCTCATCTACAGATGAGGAAATTGAGGACCAGAGTGGCTAAGCAATTTGCCTACAGTCACACTGGTCATAGAACTCAATTTAATAGTAATAATAGTTAATATATAGGTAGTGGTTATTATGTGCCACGTACTATGCTAAGCACTTTACAATTATTATTTCATTTGATCCTTATAACACTCCTGGGAGGTAGGTGCTATTACTGTCCCCATTTTACAGAAGAAGAACTGAGGCAAACAGGTTAAGTGATACTCAGCTAGTAAGTATCTGAAGCTGAATTTGAACTCAGGTCCTCTGACTCCAAATTCAGCAGTGTTCCACTGTCCCATGTTTCCTGCCAGTAAAGGCTTTCCTTGACTGAATGAGTCACCGCCAATACTCTATGCCTAAATGACTTATATGATTCCCCTAAAACAAACCACAGAAAACCCTAGGAGGCTAGTCCACTAGAAAGTTCCCATGGGAGTAGGATGAAGACTTTAGGTTGTTAGAGAGGAAATTTGGTAGGGTTTAAAAAACATGGTGTCTGAGGTCTTTTCAGAATTCATTTCTGGCACCCAGAAGTTACTTATTGGACCCTCTTATTTATACAGCTCAAGAAAGATTTCCAGACATATATTTGAGAATCTGAGAGTTAGGGTGATGCTGTGGAAAGATCACTGGATCTGGAACTATCAGACCTGGGTTCAAATTTTGGCTTTCAATCTGAGTCTTGGTGTCCTCATTTGTAAAAAAGAGGGGAGTGGATTTGTGAAGTCTCTTTCAGCTCCACATCAGTGATCTAAAAAAATAAAAGCACTGAGTCTGGGACACATTTCTAGTCTTTTGGGAGAAGGATTTGGCCCACTCCCAAATAAGTGAAGTTGGTACAAGTGTGTCCCCTTAGAGTAAAGAAAACATGGATGAAACTTTCCTGAGGAAGGGGGATCTAGATGGTCAAAAGGTCCATGCCCAGGTGACAGCTAAAGAACAGAGGGAATTTCCTCCAGTAAAATTAGAAAACAAACCTATTAATCATCACTAGCCTTTCTCACTTCTTTTAATCTAATCACAACCATCAGTTTTTCATCTCTGGTGCCAGCAAATTCCTGATATCAGAGCAGGTGATCAGTACCTAGCACCCCAGGTAATTAGAAAACATTACTCTGAACTCTGTTCTCTGTTTCCCCCTACCCTGTCACTGTGTGCCCTGTGACTGCTTGAGTGTGTGTGTGTGTATGTGTGTGTGGAGGAGGAGGAGGGCAAACAGCTGGAAGAAATTGAATGTTTTCCCAAGGGACAGTTGGAGACACACTGACTCATGTTGGTTGGGTAGGAATCTTCCAGGAAGTCTCAGGCTCTTGGGATGGGTGGAGACTTCCCTGCTGCCTCTTGTCACCACAGGGCAATAGGGAGGTGGTGGTAGGGTACTGGGAAGTTCCTATGGGGGTAGATGACTGCCCCTAGATGTTATTCTGTCAGGCAGGTGTACCTAATGGTTACCTGGAGAGGTTACTCCGTAACCTGAAGAGAGGGGGACAGGCAACCTGCTACTTCTCATACGGGCTGAAATGCCAGACCTGGCTGAGGCAGCAAGCCTGTGGGGAGAGGGGAGAGAAAAGCTAAGAAGCAGGAACTAGGCTTTTAAAACACTTAAACCAAAGGAAATCACAATAACATGGGATGAGGAAAATGAAAGGCCCTGGGAAGTCACCAGGAATTTGATTCTGTGTGTTGGTTTCCAAGAAGCTAACTTAAGCATCTCCTGGTGGATATTAAAAAGAAGCTTTGAGACTCAAGCCACTGGTGGGGGGAGGGAGGGAAAGAAGGAGGGAGGGACGGAGGGAGGGGAGGTGTGGAGAAAAAAAAGGCATGCGCACCAGAAACTGCAGGCTGTAGCTTTAAGATCATCTCAGGGAAAACTTGGACTTTACAGTAGTCCTGCGTGGGGTGGACTATTTGGGGGCTGCTGGATTTTTTTCAGGTCATATGTCCAGCCCCTTCTCCCCTTGCTTTTTATTTCTCTTCCTTTTCTTCTTTTTCCTACTGTTTCAAAGAGACAATGCTACTTCAGTTTACAGCACAAACATATGATCAGCACATGGAAATGTGGTAATTTGTATGCATTCATGATTGCAACAGATTGAAGAAATTAGACCAGACAAAGAGCTGTTTTGGAGGAGGAGGAGGAGGAGGAAGAGGAGGAGGCAGAAAGAGGGAGGGAGTGGGAGGTGAGAAAAGGGACGCCTCCAAAAAAAAAGGGAAGGCCTTGATACTCCTGCTGCTGCTAAATATATCCTGTAGTAATGGAGAAAGACCGGATCACAGGTAGGCAATCAACTCCCCCCCCTACCCAATTTATTACTTCTTCCCCTTCCCCCATCCCTTTGACTCACAGCACTGAAGTTGAAGGAAAGAAGCAGCTGAGGGTCAGTTTAATTCATTTTTTCTAAAAACTTTTTCTGCTTTTTGTCTTGATCCTTCCAAATTTTCTGGACTTAGTGTCATTCCAGAGGGAGGGGGCTGGGGGAGTGAAGGTAGGGCGCGCAGCTTTTTTCGGCGTCTGGATTTCATTTGAGACCCGCTTCTTCTTCCATTCGTTTGTTCTCTTGTTCATTTCCCAGTCTGCCACACTGAGTCCTGAGAGGACAGTGAAGGCTGAGACTGTTAACTCTGGGGCTGGGGACAGGCGGATGGGGGGGAGCTTTGTTAATTGTCAGTTTGGTTGGTCCGTTGCCTGTCTTTGTGGTTTGTCTTTTTGCTGTTTGTCAAGATCCGTTTTCAAGGTCGTCTTGGTCTCTTCTATGAAATAGTATTTATGTTCTTTTTTGGGGAACCTGATTACAGGCGATGAGGCGGCTGTCGCCCCAACGAGGGCCTGTGTGTCTCTTCCCAGTAGGGAGGGATTTTTGCCTGCAGTGGAAGGGATGGGGACAGCTTAGGTGGAAAAACCATTTTTGGGGGGGTGGGGGTACAATGTAGAAACTGTGTTCACCTTGAGATATGTGACATCAGAAATAATCTGAAAACTAACTGCACAGAAAGTTTTGTGGCAGTTTTGGGGAATCTACTCAGAAAGCATCATGGGATTCTATGGAACATATATATGTTTAGATGCCTGGGAGGGGGGTGGGGAATGGGTAAATAATTTTCATTGAGCCCAAATTGGCAGGAAAAAATAAAAAAGGAAATTTAAGGGCTCTTGAAGGAAGTGAGAAGAGGTAAAAGATCCAGGTATTCTGAATTTTTCAAGCATTCACTGTCAGTACTGGAAGCACAGACTACTGTTGCATTTCTTTTGGTTGTTGGCTACTGGTTGTCAATGTCTGCTTCTTATCTATCTGTACTGGAGGCCAAGGGAAGGTATTACCTCAGGGATCCTTCTGAGGGATGGGTCATTTATGACAGTTCAAAGTTGGAATGAATGCCTAGAGTTAGTGTTAAGATTGGCAAGGGAAGCTGCTCCGGGTGCTGCTGACAGGGGTTTCTGTACATGTGTCTCTGTGCTTTCTCTCCCTGCAAGTAAGACCACAGGGAGGTGAAGCAGCCACGCAGTCAGGGTGGAGGGCAACAGCTGGTATTGAAACCTATTTGTACTTTCCATGTTTGAGCTTGGTGATGTGGGCCAGCTGGGCAGTTTGACTGTGGTTCTGTAGTTGCTGACAGACATCTTAAATGCACAGAGGTATACAGCAACTTGCCTAACCAAAGACAGCTTGGAGGAGAAGTGGAGAGCAGGGTTTTCTGTAGCAGGATAGCGAGGATCTGGGAGGGGTCCAGGATCTAGCAGTATGGGTAGATTAAATTGAATGGGCTAACTGCTAGTCCCCTTACTCTAGACTAGGGGTAGGCAAACTATAGTTTTGACATTTATAAGTACAATAAAACTTTATTTAAAAATGTAAATGGGGGCTTAGTTTGCAACCCCAGCTCTAGATTCTGAAAGCATAGGCTATCTCAAAAGAGTAGTTGGTATATGCCTAAGTACCCCGTGGCGTAGTCAGGCCCTGTCTGCCATCTTCCTAACCTCCCTATTCGTGTCCACTGTACCATATCCTCCCAGTCATCCATCATCTTCGACTCTTCACTCTCTCTCGCCCTGACCCCCCCATAGCCAATCTATTACCCAGTCCTGTCATTTCTACCTTAAGACCATCTGTCATAATAGACCCTTTCACCACTTTGCCACTGCCACTACTGTGGTGAAGGCCACCTGGATTATTTTAGTAGCCTGCTGGTTGGTCTCTCTGTCTCTATTCTCTCCTACAGTCCACCTTCCACTCAGCTGTCCAATCCTTCCTAAAATGCAAGTTGATCATGTTACCCTCCTATTCAACCAATCCCATTGGATCACTTATAAAATCCTCTGTTTGATTTTAAAAGTCATTCATAACTTGACCCCTTCCAACCTTTCAAATTTTCTTATACTTTATTCTCTGCCACCTCCACCACCCATATTCTTCCATCCAGTGACAACAATCCTTGCTGTTCCTCACATTAGACTCCTGGTTCCAGGCATTTTTCACTGACTGTCTCCCATGCCCTGAAAACTCTCCCTCTTAATCTCTACCTACTGGCTTCCGTGGCTGCCTTCAAGCTTCAATTAAAGTCCCACCTTCTGTGAGAAGCCTTTCCCAGTTCTCCTTAATCTTAGAGCCTTCCCTCTGAGATAAGTTTCAATTTAGCCTGTGTATTTCTTGTCTCTACATAATTTTTTGCATGTTGTCTCCCCCCAGTAGACTGTGAACTTCTTGCAAGCAGGCACTGTTTTTTGCCTTTCTTTGTATCTCCAGTGGTAAGCACGTAGAAGAGGCTTCATAAATGCTTGTTGACTTGACTTCTTACTATGAAATGTAATGGTAATAGGCCAGAACTCAAAGAATGTTAGGGCTAGGAGGGAACTCAAAGATTTTAGTCCCAATCTCACCCATTTTACAAATAAGGAAACTGAGACACAGATGGGATCAAGAATGAAAATGAGAATGGGGAGAAAGATATGAGTGACTTTGGGGAGAGGTCAGATAACTTTCCTAGCTCTAACATTGTATGATTGTGCATCAACACAGGAGCCTACCCAAGACTCCAGACCTTATTTACCAACTTTCATGAAATTAAAATATAGTATCTTGGCAAATGGCTAATTCTTCTCCATTCTTTTTAAAAACTCACCAAAAATGAGAGGCAATATGGTATGGTGGCTAGAGATCCAGCCTCTGAGCAGAGGAAGACTTGGATTCAACTATAGCCTTTGACACATACTGGCTTTATGACTCTGGGGATAGAGGAATTTGTCACTGGGAGCTCTCTACCCGTAGAAATCACTCATCTGGTAAAAACCAAACAAAATAAAAACCGACCCCAAATTCACTGAACCGTTTGCTTAAATAAATGACATTCTGGGATGAAGGATTGCTTAGACCTGCTGACGTGTTCATTTTCAAAAAGAAGAGTGCTAGCTGGGGTGAGTACACCTGGAATCTAGTCTAGACTTTACTTGGTGATCTCTTGCTGCTTGACCTTAGGCCAATCACTTTGAACCTCTTTGAATTTTGGTTTCCTATTATATAAAATGAGAAGGTTGGACTAGACGATCTCAAAGGTTTGTTCCAGTTCTATGGCTTTATAGTTGAGCTGTGCTTCTTCATAGGCAGTAATGAGAAGTTAATAGGGTTCCCTCTCCTCTTCCCCGCAAGCTGTCCTGCTCCTTCATCTTGTGATCTTGGTTCTCTTACTTAATACCTGTATGACTGGGCCTCATTTTTCTCATCTATAAAATGAAGGGATTCAACTGTATGGTTTCTGTGATTCCTTCCAGCTCTAAACCTCTGTTCTTATGATCTTTAAGTTGCTCAAAGTGTGTATGGTACAGTGTAATGCTGGGGACACCAGCTTTATTATCCCCTGCTTCATCTCTAGGCCATCATCAAGGACAGTCGAGGAGCATCCAAAAAAGGGAGTCCGTGGTAGGGAGGAAGGTTGGGAAGATACTGTTATATACAGAAAGGGTGCCACTGTATGGTTTCCCTAAACTCTGCTTCAATTATGATTTCCCATTCATTAAGTTTCTAAGGTATGCTCAGGACACAAGTTCCAGATATGTCTTCAAGATTCTACAACGCTTCAGAGTTGGGAGGAAGAGCAATTATCGGGTTGGGTCACTGTTGATGGGGGGTATGTGGTAAGGACAAAAGAACCTCCCTCCTGATAATTCTGTAGTGAGCTCATGCCTGGGAAAGAGGATTTGTTGGGTAAGTGCCTGGGAAAGCCAGTGGCCACTGATTTGGGAAGAACCTGGTTTTGGCTTTTTTTGCAAACCTAAAAGCCAGCTGGCTCCTTCTGCCTCCCACCCCCAATCAAGTCCTTGCTAAGGTTTTCTCTTTCCCCAGGAAGCTGTCATTGAGCTGAAATTAGTTGCTGTTCCATGGCTTGAGAATGAGTCATAAGAGTGAGATGACTGGACTGCTGAGATATGAAGGAATGGGCTTTTCCCAGCAGATCATTGGAATCTTTTTTTTCCCTTCTCATTTTTCCTTTGTTGTTGGACCGCTTCTGTGGCTTCTACAAATTTTGCAGTTTTATCTTGTTCCAAGAGCTAGTGTGAAATGGGTAGATGGAGCTGGGCATCTGCAAGTGGGGAATTTTCCACCGGGACAGCTGTTACTTGTCCTAGGCTGGTAAGCCTGCTGAGCAGCTGGGCAAAGGATCATGCCATGGAGGCGAAATTGGTGAATTGGTGGTGGCGAATATTGAAACATGTCCATGTCACTTACTACCAGACATATCAGACAGAAGCTATTCTGTGCTCATCTGTGAACATAGGTTTGGGGTCCTAGCAGGATGCTGGCATACATCATCCCTAAAAGGCATTTACTGAATACCACCTTGGGGCCTAGCGCATAGAAGTTAGGTCGGAGGGAGATATAATGATGCTCCTCTCTTGTTGGACAAAATGTAAGCATTTTTTGTAGTGCCGACATTTGTCTCTTTTTAATGGGAAAGAATTGGGTAGTATGCAGAGAGATTTCTATAGGATACTTCTTTGCATAGGCGGGCAGCACTGCTGACTAAATTGCTTATACGGATTTTATTTTAAACTCAGTTTGACTCTATTCTTTCCCTGTCTCCCTCCCTAACTATAGTACCCTGGGAGATGTTTGAAGGCCCAGTTGCAGATGCTTTTTTATATCCAGGACAGAGTACTTTCAACAACTGGATTCTTCACTGGCCTCCAGTCTGAGTTACCTCAGCTATCCCACCCTTCCACCCCCAACCTTGAATTTCACAAGGATCCCTGTGTGAA